AGTGTGACGTAATAGCTAGTCTCAGCTAATGGCTAGTATGACCTAATGGCTAGTATGACGTAATGGCCAGTCTCAGCTAATGGCTAGTATGCTGTAATGGCTAGTCTCAGCTAATGGCTAGTATGACATAATAGCTAATGGCTAGTCTTAGATAATGGCTAGTATGACCTAATAGCTAGTGTTAGCTAATGGCTAGTCTGAGCTTACAACTAGTATGACGTAATAGCTAGTCTCAGCTAACAGCTAGTATGACCTAATGGCTAGTCTGAGCTTACAACTAGTGTGACGTAATAGCTAGTCTCAGCTAATGGCTAGTATGACGTAATGGCTAGTCTCAGCTAATGGCTAGTCTTAGATAATGGCTAGAATGACCTAATAGCTAGTCTTAGCTAATGGCTAGTCTGAGCTTACAACTAGTGTGACGTAATAGCTAGTCTCAGCTAATGGCTAGTATGACCTAATGGCTAGTATGACGTAATGGCCAGTCTCAGCTAATGGCTAGTATGCTGTAATGGCTAGTCTCAGCTAATGGCTAGTATGACATAATAGCTAATGGCTAGTCTTAGATAATGGCTAGTATGACCTAATAGCTAGTGTTAGCTAATGGCTAGTCTGAGCTTACAACTAGTATGACGTAATAGCTAGTCTCAGCTAACAGCTAGTATGACCTAATGGCTAGTCTGAGCTTACAACTAGTGTGACGTAATAGCTAGTCTCAGCTAATGGCTAGTATGACGTAATGGCTAGTCTCAGCTAATGGCTAGTCTTAGATAATGGCTAGAATGACCTAATAGCTAGTCTTAGCTAATGGCTAGTCTGAGCTTACAACTAGTGTGACGTAATAGCTAGTCTCAGCTAATGGCTAGTATGACCTAATGGCTAGTATGACGTAATGGCCAGTCTCAGCTAATGGCTAGTATGACGTAATGGCCAGTCTCAGCTAATGGCTAGTATGATGTAATGGCTAGTCTCAGCTAATGGCTAGTATGACATAATAGCTAATGGCTAGTCTTAGATAATGGCTAGTATGACCTAATGGCTAGTCTGAGCTTACAACTAGTATGATGTAATAGTTAGTCTCAGCTAACAGCTAGTATGACCTAATGGCTGGTATGACGTAATGGCTAGTCTCAGCTAATGGCTAGTATGACATAATAGCTAGTCTCAGCTAATGACAGTCTCAGCTAACGGCTAGTATGGCCTAATAGCTAGTCTTAGCTAATGGCTAGTCTGAGCTTACAACTAGTGTGAGCTAATAGCCCAGACCGGCCTTTGGTTCATGCTAGCCACAGAGCTAACGGTTTGAGACTCGTGGTTACTCATGCAGACATCCTGACCTTTGAACTAGACTAGCTGTCAACTCCGTTTAGCCACTGTTTCTCTTAACTGAGGTTGTTTAGAACTTTTCTACAGTTTCAGTAAAAACATTCGGTTTTTCTTTCTCTTTTGTTTATTTGTTGTGAGAATTTAAGCCTTTGAGCAAGTTTTCCCCCAGTTGTCACACGATGTCTTCATCCTCCTCCTCCTCCTTACAGGCCTGCTGAGGGATGAAGAGGCTGCAGCACAGATGTCGTCTCTTCCTCTTCATTATGTCTTTGAGCTCTAATGACTGGTGTACGACTTCATCAGCCTGCAAAGGAGATCCTCTAAGAAGTCTCCTCCTCTTCCTCCAGAGCTTTTAATTTCCTACAGATGTCTCCTCCTCCTCTGAAAGTGTGACTACTTTGTTATTTACGCTCCTCCTCACATGTTGCCTCCTGATCTTTTATAGATCTAATGAAGCCCCCCCCCGCACCCCACCCCACCCCTCACCCCCACCCAGCATGTTAAAGTGCTGATGAGGCGGCTGCTGATGAAGAGGAGCTCCACAGATGTTCCTCCTGTGACTGATCGCTTCGTTTATTGTCTGAGGGCAGAATGCAATAAACTCATTAGTATACTCCCTTAGGTGTGTGTGTGTGTGTGTGTGTGTGTGTGTGTGTGTGTGTGTGTGTGTGTGTGTGTGTGTGTGTGTGTGTGTGTGTGTGTGTGTGTGTGTAGGTGTGTGTGTGTGTGTGTGTGTGTGTGTGTGTGTGTGTGTGTGTGTGTGTGTGTGTGTAGGTGTGTGTGTGTGTGTGTGTGTGTGTGTGTGTAGGTGTGTGTGTGTGTGTGTGTGTGTGTAGGTGTGTAGGTGTGTGTGTGTGTGTGTGTGTGTGTGTGTTGTCAGCCTCTCTGGGAGATTAATATTAGTTTTCTTGTCTCTCTGAGTCTTTTAGGACAGCAGCAGCTCAGGAGGGGAGCGGGTTGTCCACTAATCAGAAGGTTGCGGGTTCGATCCCGGCTCCGACCAGAGAATTCTGCTGTGGTGTCCTTGGGCGAGACACTTAACCCACTTTGCCTGCTGGTGGTGGTCTCTGTCAGAGCGCCCCAGGGCAGCTGTGGCTACATGGTAGCTCATCACCACCAGCGTGTGAATGGATGAATGACTCTGTGTAGCGTAGAGAGCTTTGGAGTCCTCTGACTCTGAAAGGTGCAGTACCAGTGGGGTCACTTGTCATCACTTTTTGTCCTGTCCGCCCTCAAACTGCTCCTACTCCTCCTCTTGCTCCCTCTGCTCCTCCTTCCCCTGCTCCCCCTCCCTCCCCCTGCTCCTACTCCTCCTCCCTTTCTCCCACTGCTCCCCCTCCCTCCCCCTGCTCCCCCTTCCTCCCCCTTCCCCTGCTCCTACTCCTCCTCCATTTCTCCCCCTGCTCCCCCTCCCTCCTCCTTCTCCTCCTCCCTCCACCTGCTCCTCCTCCTATGCCTCCTACAGGTTTAATATCAGACTCTTGGGTTCTGTCTGACCTGTACCCCTGCTCCCCTTCCCTCCCCCTGCTCCCCTTCCCTCCCCCTGCTCCTCCTCCCTCCCTCCCCCTGCTCCTCCTCCTTTTCTCCCCTTGCTCCCCTTCCCTCCCCCTGCTCCTCCTCCTACGCCTCCTACAGGTTTAACATCAGACTGTCTGACCTGCTTGCCAGACTAGAACAACCCTTTTTTCTGAAGTTCTGGTTCTGGATCTCTGAACTCCACTGATGAGTTACTTCTCAGACATTTGATGTCAGAACCTTTTCTGGAGTTCTGGAGTGAAAAGCTCGTGTGGAAGAGGTCTTGACCTGGCTCAGAAGTGACCAGATCCAGACCGGGTTCTGGTTGGGAACCAGAAACCAGACAAACTTGTCGAGTCCACACTGGTTCTGGTTCAGAACCTCCTGGTTCCAGTGTGTTCTGGACATGGTGGTGAGTTCTGATCTCCACAGAGACCAGTTGAGTCCAGCATGTCTGCTTCAGGTCACCTGGACCAGAACCAGAATCATGGGGCGTTCCAGATTCAGATGTTCAGTCTTCTGAAGCAGGGTCTGTTAGATACGGCTCTCTGATTGGCTGAGACTCACCGTAAGTCGTTGTTGTGGTTTTCACCTCCAGCTTTCCTCACAGCAACTGTCTGGAGCCCATCCACCCACCGAGCTAGTTCTGCAGAACCGGGTCCAGATGAAATGTGTGCCGTCGACCCAGAGGAGAACCTTCTGACCCATTTAAGCCCCTCCCCCACACACGTGACGGACAGTTCCACATTCAGCCCGGATTCTGCTTCCAGGCTGCCGGCATTCTGGTTCCGCTCCACAGGGAGAACCGGCCCAAACCCGTTCTATTTACATCTCAAGCTGCAGACCCAGGATGGTATTTTGGGTTCCGTCTCCATGGAGACGGTGCTGCCAGCCTGTAGCCGAGGAATCCAGACCAGCTGAAGCAAAAGGACGTAGCTCTGCAGGTCGGCCATTGGCCCGAGTTTCATGTCTGGCCCATCACGACGCTCTGCGTTTGATGGGTGGACTTAACGCCAGAGCTGCAACGCAGAACAACCACGCCTCAGGGACGGCGCCCGTCTGAGACTGAGATGGAGCATTGAGGCCCTGTCCACACGTAGCCGGGGATCTGCCAAAACGTAGATATTTTCTACGTTTTGGCCTGTCATCCACACGAAAACGGAGTTTTTTCACACGAAAACGGATCTTTTTAAAAACTCCGGCCAAAGTGAAGATCTGCGTTTTCTCCGTTTTGGGTGTCTGCGTGTGGACAGACAAAACCGGAGTTTTAAGGTCCGCAACGTCACTTTCCGCGACAAAAAAATGCTGACATCACGTGTGCGACCTGTGTTTACACTAGCCGACAGCATGGATGCCCTCAGAGCTGCGCTCGCTTTATCAATCGTCCAAGCGCTTTTTGCTTGTTTGTTATTGCAAGCGGAATTACTGCTCCTTGTGGAAGACCACAGACGAAGGACGAGGTTAAGAACGGGGGAAGTACTGCCCCCTACAGGTCTGGCATGTCCTTAACAACATATTTATCCGGGTACGTGTGGACAGTTTTTTTAAAACGAGGTGGTGTGGATGCAAGTTTTTGGAGAGGCGTATATTCGTTTTTTTTTTAAACCCGGTTACGTGTGGACTAGGCCTTAGACTTGGCCTAATAATAATAATCATTATTGTTATAATAGTTGTATAAAAATAACAATCAGCCCTGAATGATAGAGCAGGTCTGCTGTAGATGATTCACTAAATAACAATAAAACGTTGTTTCATAAACATTGGTGCTCCGACGCGTCGATTACACCGTTTTAATCCACACAGATTATTGAAGATGAGAATTATTACGTCTAATTTTATTTTTGTTGCTGTTAAAATAAAAGCAAACCAGATCAGTAACCTGAACCCTAACTCACACAACCGTTATTTATTTGTTTTTGTTTATTTGTTGTTACACCAATGTTTTTCTTATGAATGTGACTCCAGAGCTGAGATGAGCAGAACCTGGTCTTCATGTTAACCCCGTGGTCCTCCTCCTCCTCCTGCGCATCAGTAGAAAGGGCGACTCTGAGACTCTCCTCATTAATAATGGATGGACTCGCCTGTGAGGAGGAGGAGGAGGAGGAGGAGGAGGGGGAGGAGGAGGAGGAGGAGGCTCCAGTCCAGTAAAACCACACCACTCACAGCTTGAAACATCATTTGTTTCATTTATTTCTCTTCATCTTTTATCGTTATTGTTCTTTATTTTCTCTGTGGGGATATAATCTGATTTAAAACTGACTATCTCTAATAAAGCATTTCTCAAAAGGTTCTTTTTTCAAAATCTTTTTCATAGACATTTTCTCTCTATAGAAGATTTTAGTCCATCTTCTGTTTAGTAGCATCTCCAGAAACAAAGTGACAACCAGCCAGGCAACAAACAAACAAACAAACAGAAGAGCACATCTTCGAGTCAGAAGGCAGTGGAAATGATTCCCTCTGGGATTAATAAAGTATTTTGAATGGAATTGAAACGTCTGAGAACAGAAAGGAAAACAAACTTCTAGATTTTATGATGCTACGTTCGTTTGGGCTAAGAGTTCACCGTTGATGTTGGACTAAAACCACCGGGATGGAAACGGAAACAGTCATTTCACTCTTCAGCCACGGTTCCATTATTGTCCACACATACATATACATACATATACATGTGTGTTATTTATGTAGCTACACTGACCATAAACCTTTATTTTCATATTGCTGCCATCCTGTAAAAAGCTAGCGTTCAGTTCTGCTAACGAGGTCCAACAGAACCATGCCGATAGTCAACCAGCAGCTACAGGTGGATAAAACGAGCGCTCCACCAAACCCGTTCTGGAAATGAGCTCAAAGTCTAAAAGAGAATTTAAACTAACTTTAAAAGTAAAGATTAAAGTAAATAAACCACACCTCCTATAAACGACATAGGGAAAAGTAACACTAGATAGGATTAAAGCTAGCGCTTTAACGTTGATCTCAATGACGGTTGAGTTACAAACGACCTGTTTCATGTTTGATACCTCTCTGCTGCCCTCTGCTGGCCACGTACTGCACTGAACAGTTCTGTGGAACAGTTAAGTGGCCTAGAGGGCGCGCTTACCTGATTAATGGACGTTAGCTATTTTTCATGCCAGGAGCTAATAAAACGTTAGCAGTTAGCTTTTTCAGTTTGCTGACCTGAAAGCAGAAGAAGAAGAAGAAAAAGAAGTTTGCTTTCTCTGTTGGCGTCATGGAGGAGCCTGGAAGTAAACGTATGAGATTGATGTCTTTAGAGATAAAGCAAAGAGCTAAAACCAGAGTAAACATCAGCGCTAGTTTGAGGGAGCTAAAGGCGGCTACAAAGTCACGGACTGATGGTGACCTGGCTTTGTTGCTACTGAACTTGCAAGTAAGATGTTAAGTTCAACAGTGTTGATCTTTTTGTTTTGAGGGTTATACTAGTATTAGTTGGCTCATGTTAGCATTAGCTTGTTGTTAGCGCTAGCTACAGCAGGGTTGTTATGACAGTTGTAATTCCACTTTCTACCAGTAGAGCGGAGAAGCTGGAAACTGCTCTGTGTTACTTTAGAAATAAGGAGTCCAAACCAATAAATAATCTGAAGCTGCCGCTCACGTAGGCTTTCTCTGGTTATCATTAATGCTGCTCTGGCTAGCATAATTAGCCTAGCTTTAAATTTCAGCCTTCATTAAACCATGCTTTTAGACTTTTGTGTCCATTTCCAGAAATGTTGTGGGACTCTGGTTTCATGCAGGTTAACATAGATCTGAACAGTGGACCTGATCCTGGCCCACAGCCCTCCACCTCGGGTCCTGGAGAGGAGACCAGACTAGCACCGGAACCAGGAAGAATCAAGCTTCCATGTTTCCTTCATAAAGTAGTAGCTAGCATGTTAGCAGGCTAGCTAGCTAGGTGAAAACAGGTAAAAAAAAATGCAAATGTGTCAGTGGAAGGTGAATCATTTCCAGACCGACAGAAATTTGGTGACCTCACTGCCTGTTGTGATGACCTCATAGCTGCTGGCTGTAGCATGAACGCCACAACTGCTGAAAGAAAATTAAACATCAGGCTAATTCATCATCGAGCGTTCGTTCAGCACCACCAACAGTCGCGCTGGCGTAGAAAATGAAATGATCCCTTTTATTATTGTAAAAACGGGCGATGGCGATACGGATTCAGTGGAGTCACGCTTGTTTTTGCGTTGAGGAACAACCTCGAGCCGCGTGGGAGCTAACCACGGCGCTGGCTACACCTACTAAACATCAATAATGCATGGCTGACTTTAATACTATGTAATTCCACAATCGTAAGTGGGCAAGTGTCCATCAATATTTCATCACTGTCTTCCTTCCAGTTCAGCAGCATGTTGAATATTTCATGTTGTTGACCTCAGGCAGGGTCTGCGTGTGATTGGATGGCAACTCCAGGAAGTCCCAGAGGGCAGCCCAGGTTGTGATGAAGCCATAAAAATCCAATCATGGTGAATTTTCTTCTGATGAACCCCGACGTGGTTGTTCAGGTTTCCAGTCTGGCGGAGTTGTCTTCTGTTTTTGTGGGCTTTTATTTTTCTCTGCTCCTTCCTGTTAAAACGCCAGCCGAGTCAGTATGGTGGTCAGGGTGCTCAGGAACACGGCGAGGGCCCTGGCAGGAGCAGACCCAAGGGCCCCGTTCCCACCACCACAGAGTTCAAACAAACTCCCCCGGAAATTCAGGTTGCGGGATTCCTTTTTCAGTTTCTCCCAGAGGTCCGTGGCTCCCTCGTGGCAGTCGGCCAGCGCCGTCGTGGCGCAGGAATGGAAGTTGTCCCAGTAACTGGCGAGAGAAAACAGCAAGGATTACCACCAGTGGGAGGCTGCTTCCAAACTCAACGCATCTACTAGTCTGGGGGCGGAGCCAAGAGCCGACTTGGCGCCAAAAGCAAATAAAAACACAAACACTGAAACGACTCCAGCAGTTTCCCAGCTCTGAGCCACACCCCCACCTCCTCGGCTCCTCCAGAGAGGAGGCGCTGCCCAGTAATCAGGAACAACCAGCCTGTTTATCTTAGATCACCTGAACTAACCTTTGGTCCAAACGGCTAAACTCTCTGACAGGACAGCGCGCTAATTATTAAACAATATCATCAATTAATATGTTATTATTTATCACTATTAATAACAATCATCACTTTGCTCCATTTTATGTTTATGCTCAAATTTTACTTTTTGATTTTCATTCTTTCTGCTGCCGGGTTCACACACTCACTCACACACACACACACACTGAGCGTATCTAATCCAATCTTCCAATCTGCTCTTATTGACGTTGACCTCTTAACCCGCGTCGTGTCGGAGCCTCGTCTCAAAGCAATTAACGTGTGTGAGGAGGCGTATTAACACCCCCCTCTCTCTCTCACACACACACACACACATACACACTTATCACTGTCTGTGATGGAGCTGTCACTGAATTAAAAACCTGTGTGCGTGTGTGTGTGTGTGTGTGTGTGTGTGTGTGAGTGTGTGTGTGTGTGTGCGTGCGTGTGTGTGTGTGTGAGTGTGTGTGTGTGCGTGCGTGCGTGTGTGTGTGTGTGTGTGTGCGTGTGTGTGAGTGTGTGTGTGTGTGTGTGCGTGCGTGTGTGTGTGTGTGTGTATGCCATCTGGTGCCCACCCGGTTGAGCTGGCAGGTCGCACATATGCCCCTCCCACCCTCAGGGGGCTTGTGGTCAGAGATGTAGACTTGGCTCCGCCCACATTTCTGGTTTCTGAGCTGCAGGTTGGGATGGAGATCAAAGCCTGTTTCTTGTATTTATTTTAATCTTCGGTTTGGGTTCTGATCCACACGCTTGCTCACGTCTGGTTTTTCTGCATTCATGTAGAAGCTTCGCTTCCATTTTATCAGGTTTTAATCTTTATTTAATGTCGGTAAAACGCTATTTAACATGTTAACTATGTATTTGTTGGTTGGGGCTGGGCTTAGAGACCATGTGACTTAACATTGGCCTAAAGGTTTAAATGTTGTAAACACACCTGCTCTAAGTCAGGTGATTCCTGGATTTTCGGTCTCTGTTGGATTTTTCTCTTATCAGCTGTTAGTGACATCATTAATTTGGTTGACTCTGATTGGACAGCCCTGGTTAAAGGTGACCCTTTCACCTTCTTCTCCTCCCATCATCACTCACACCTTGTTCGATGGACCCAGCATTGTGAGGGAACTCACCTGCAGATCTTGTGCAGGTTCTCCCTGTCGTCCAGGTCCTGGGGGTAGTTGGACATGTCGTCCCCCAGTCGAATCAGACAGTCTGAGAATCCTTTGAAGACGGAGTCACATTGACCAGCACCAACCAGAACTGTCTGCAGCACGGAGACTGGAGGGACACAAACACAGCTGTGAGAGGAGCTTCTGACACTCTGAGATGTTTCAACTGGACCATCCAGGTCTCATGGTCTTAGGTCTTAAACCAATCTAGTCACCCTTCCAGTCATACGTTTGGTTGCCTGAACTCATGAACAGTTCCCAGACCGTCGTGTTAGTGATTCAGTTCATGCTTTCACATCTAAACCTGTTCTGGGTCCAGAGCTGGAGCCACACATGACCCGTGTGGGCCGGACCGACATCCTGCAGCTCCGACAGGGTTCTCTGTCCCAACATCTGATCTGAACCAGCAGGCCCTAGAGCTGCAGGACCGGCAGAACAGTGCTGCTGTTGTGAGACGTTCTGCTTCCGGATCAGATCTGGCCACGGATTAACGAGAGAAACGTCTGAAACAGCGAATCCATGGAAGCAGGTGAGAGATCCCGAGAAAACCAGAATCTGCAGGATTAACGTTCCATCAAACATCTGATTTTCCCAGAAGCAGGAATTTTTATACAAACTCAGATCCTCAAAAGCAGGAAAGGAAAAGTGTGTGTGTGTGTGTGTGTGTGTGTGTGTGTGTGTGTGTGTGTGTGTGTGTGTGTGTGTGTGTGTGTGTGTGTGTGTGTGTGTGTGAGAGTGAGTGAGTGAGTGAGTGAGTGAGTGAGTGAGTGAGTGAGTGTGTGTGTGCGTGTGTGTGTGTGTGTGTGAGTCATTAGAAACTAGATGGATGGTAACTACTGTAGCCCAGGAGGGACAAACCTGAGGACAGCTGACGGAACAGAACCAAACCTTTTCCTGAATTTGTCTCAAACTGAAATGTTCTGGTTAAATGAAGCGTGTGTGTGTGTCACCCCCTCACTCTCACAGAGGGGAACAAGCTCCTGTCACACACACACACACACACACACACACCCCTCCACATGACCTCTGCCAGCTAAGACTCGTGGTTCGTTAAGCAGCTGATTGGCCCAATTGATCGGTTTGGATAATAACGGTTCCGCTCCACCAGGTTGTGCACTGATGCAGCATGGTGTGTAGGACGAGACACGGCTGGACAGTGGGGGGTTCTTTGTTTAAGCTCCGCCCCCTCCACGTGAACACCTTGTTGATGTTTGTTCAGATGTTTAGCTGGTTAGTTAGTTTGGTTTGGTGATGAGTTCAACCTGCAGGACTCGTTGAGGTGACCCGTTTGGTTCTGCAGATTTATTTGTTGTGTCTTTAAAATGTTTTTATTTACATTTTACTGAGTAGAGGTAACTGTTACGGGATCTTTAACCGCACATCAGGTCATTAATCCAGCCTGAGCTGGCCCAGTCCAAAACGACCCGTTACCAGAATAACCCAGTGGGTTGTTTTTAACCCAGCGCCTCTCAGAGTGTATTCTAGCCCTCATCACTTCAGAACATTTTCATTCATGTATTCATTTTCCTGATGACTCCGTCCTCAGCACGGCCTTGGGGAGCAGGTGTGTTAACGCCATCAGTCACCAGGTGAGAGACGGGACACACCTGGACAAGTCTCCAGTCCATCACAGGGACACACACTAACAACTCGCTAACCTGCAGGTATGTTTTAGGTCTGGAGGAAACCTGCATAAGAACAATGAAAGGCCAAGGCTGGGATTTGAACCGGCGACCTTGCTTCCCTTTACCCACCTGGCTGGAAACCCCTCCTACAGTTAGGCCAGTGGAACAGGAAGCAGCAGGTGAGAACACCTGGGAACATGAATGTTTCTTTTGAACCAGGACGTTGTCCTTTGGCGTAAGGGGGGCGGGGCTTCAAGTTAGTACCAAAGCCAGCCTCTAGGGGCGCTGGTCCTGACCGGCGTGCGTGACCTCCAGAGTCACGCGGAGGATTGAGTCTTTTGTTTCTGATGAAACATTTTATTATTTTAACGTTTTATGGAACAAATCAAGTAGATTTCTAGTCTGTTTATTATTTCTGCTGAATTTTTGGTTTCCATCTTGTTTCTATTTGAATATCAACTCTGACTTGATGTATTTAACTCTGTTAAACCGCGCAAAGGTCAAAGGTTAGATCAGTTCTCCAGATTCTGTACACCTTCTGCTCCAGACCCTACCCAGAAGATCCGGAACCCGTTCGTTCTGAGTTTTTAAGGAGCCTTTATTTTGTTCAACTGGCGTTAGCCCGCAGCTGGATTCTACGTCATCAGATTCACAATAAATGTGTGAACTTAAATAATTAAAAACCTCCGTTTGGTTCCGGCAGCATCAGGATAATAATTATGATTTATTGGTTTATTTCCTCTCAAATTGAAACTAATATTTGATCATAAATGTTCCGTAATGAACGGTTTGAGTCCTTTTGTTCCGCCGGTGTCGGAAGCATTACATCATCTCTGTGAGAAGCTGCACGCGCGCGTCGCCGCATCACTGTGCATCAATCAGCGCCAAAAACGCAAAACCCGCAGCAGAAACAAGCAAATTAACCTCATGAATGCATTAGAATTATTTTGGTTTTATTGAAATGAACCAGTTTCTGCAGCTTTTCATTCATTATTAATAAGCATCTATTTTTAGTCCAAACGAAAAAATTCACTTTTAGATTATTGGTTGATTTTCTGCGCTTTGATGCGTCATCAGGAGATTTTTATGCAGGTTTCATGTTTGCACCAAATTTAAAAATAACGTTTTATCGTTTAAAAGTAAAAATCACTTCATTTTATTTTTGATTCGTTCATCTTTGTTAAAAAAACTCCAGTTTTCTGCTTTTTATTATAATCTGTTTTTATTTTTCAGGAGTCAAACCAGGACGGGCGCGCGCACAAGTTTTTTCTCTTTTATTTTCGTTCACGCCTCCTATCAAGCACTCATTCACCCCACCTACACACACACACACACACACACACACACACTGTTACCTGCAGTGTGTGAACGCAGAAGCAGCGTGCTTCACGCAGACACACCCACCAAACACATGAGGCCATTTTTATCTTTTGTGCGTACAATTTTAGAAAAACCGCAAAAAGCCACAAAAATGACGCATAAAAAATCCGCAGTTCTGCTGAAAATCAAACCATGACGTAATCGCCGCGCGTGAGCTGAAGCAAATGTTTAACGTCTCTGATCTGGGCTCAGACATAAAACCTCAAAAGATTTAACCTGATTCTGTCTCAAGGTGTGACTCTGCTGCAGCGGCGCGCCAAACCTCAGACCAATCACTGCAGGGATTCAGTTGGCACACGCGCGCGCGTGCACGGGACAGGATTCCGCTCCAAAAACCCAAAATAACCCGAGAACTCTGGAAATCCAGAACGATTAATATTCTATTCGATTAGTCCGCAAATAATTCAGCTGCTCGTTTTATTATTAAAATTAAACAAGTTAGAATTTTCTTCCTGAAACATGAAACCTCCGGAACAAAAGACCCGAGAAGGATTGTGTGTCCTGAATAATTCAGCATTCCTCTGCCACACACACACACACACACACACGCACGCACACACACACGCACACACACACACAGCCCTCCTCCACAGCTCCGTTATGCAACGCAGCAGCAGAAAAAAACAACAATCAGCTCCATTTTTCGGAGCTCATCTGCAGCAACTAGACGCATCCCGGGCACAGGGAGCGGGGTATTTCCTGCAAACGAACCGAACCAGGAGGCCCGGAAGCAGGCGTTCACACCTCCGATAATAGAGACGAAAGAAAATGAGTGTTTTTTGCACGTGATCCGCCAGCGCGCGCAGACTGTAATAAATACATTTTATTTGTTTATTTGTTTATCTAATTAGTGCAGAAAAGATTTAAATGTGTAAATAAAAACATGTTTTTTCCGGATGCTGCGGGGCGTGACGCTCTGCGGCGGGATGGAGCCTCTGAACACCGACTAATAACCGGTTCTCGGACCCGTTTAGTTCCTGATGGGTTTTTATTTATAGTTTCGTTGTCGGTATCTCCTGCGGGCCTCAGCCGAACCGGACCCGGTCCACGGAGCCGATCCGAAGTGTGTCTGAACGACTTTCATCAAAAGCGTCCTGCAGGTGGAGGAGATGCAGCAAATGTCCTCAGCGCGGGACAACCGGGGGCGGGGAGGGGGGCATTCCCCCGTTAATGCACGCACGCACGCACGCACGCGCGCGCTCTGAATGTGAAGTGAAGCCCCGTCCGCAGCTCACGCGTGTCCGCGGCTTCAAAAACCCAAAACAGCATAAAGTAATTTTAGGATAAATGAGTTGTGCAGAAGTCACAGGAAGGCGTTTCACGGTGAGAGACGCTCAGATTATAATCGGATTCTAATCCAGCAGACTAAAAAACGAATCTGAAGTTCGTCCTGAAACTGACAGGAAGCATCCTCACCTAGGTGGAGCGCGAGGAGGAGAGCGAGGCATCTGGAGGACCAGGTTACTCCCATCCTCCGAGTCCGCTCTCACCATCAGACACCAGAGTCACTAAGTTGGAGCCGCGGAGGAGGAGCTGCACATTCCCCGCAAAAAGCCGCCAACAGCTTCATCCGGTCCGGCGGAGACCTCCGCCTGCTGCTCCTCTTCCTCCTCCTCGTCTTTAAGTGTTGACCGGAGCGTCTGCTCTCCCTCTCTGCTGCTGCGCTGCGCGCTCACTCCGTTTTACGCGTCCCGATCCGTTTTACGCGTCCCGACCCAAAGCAAAGAGTGAGAGAAAGCTCCTCCTCCTCCTCCTCCATCCCTCCATCTCTCCATCTCTCCATCACTGTCATCCTGGTCGGATCTCATCTGTTCACAAAGCTTTTCAGGCAAAAATAGAAAATGAGTCAAATTCTGATTCATGTTCTGATTTAATGAAATGTTTATTTTTATGGTCAGAAATAAAATCATTCTGAAGGTTTTCGGCTCTAAAATGTTACAAAGTTAAATACAGGAGAAGGTAAAGTCATTTAATTCCTGCTAAATTAGGACAAAAGAAATAAAAAAATTTGTTTTATCATTTGGTTGGAATGGTCCCAGGCTGCTCTCTGATTGGTTAGTTTATTCCTCTGCAGCACTTCCTGTTTTCTAAGTGACATCATGTTGTTCAGGTTTAAAACACAAAGGTGTCAAAGTGGAAACTTTATCCCGGAATGCAGATTTAGCTGGTTTCACTCATTCATGCAAACGACATCAGGAAAAGTAAAAATATTTGATTTTTTTGTGTCTGAATCAATAAAATCCGCCTCTGGCTGCAGATGGGTGGGTTGTCGGTTAGAATACGGCTCCATGCTGATCAGTCATTCTGTCCTTGGGCAATGCACACGCACACGTGCACACACACACACACATACACGCACACACACACACACACACACACACACACACACACGTCTCCTTGTGTGGACCCTCCATTGACTTATATTCATTTTTGGGACTCCATTAGCCTAACCAGAACCAGAACCAGAACCAACGCTGACCTCCTAACCCGAACTGAACTGAACTTAATTCACACCGAAGCTCTAAAACTACATTTAAAAAAGAAAGGACCAGAAAAATGTCCTCACTCTATTGGTTAAAGCCTCATAATGGTCCTCAGCATTTAGTAAGTACAAGAACACACACACACACACACACACACACACACGGTTTTGTTTGACCTTGTTTCCTGACTTCGTTAAACACGTTCTGACCAATCAGGAGCCAGCTCGGAGCTGGACACGCGCACCTCCTGGCCCACATGGTCTCGTGGTCGTTGCTGCCCCCTGCTGGTGATGACGAGGAGCTGCTGTTGGCTCTGAATCAGACAGAGAGGCTGGAGAAGAATAAAAGTAACCTCCACTGGGATCCGTGTGTTATAACTACGGTATGGCGGGCTGGTGTGTAAGTCCGTCACAGGTAAACCTCACCTGTGACGGACTAAATGAGAAAAAAAATCCAGGAACTCACACTGTCTGATTTTTAAACAAGTGTTTGGTCTTCCGATGTTTCTGCTCTCACACACCTGTCTTCTGTAAGAGGCTGCTCTCCCCGCCACTCGTTACCTGTGCTAATGACACCTGTTGAACTGGTTACCAGTGTAGAAGGCACCTGCCACAACCTCAGACAGTCACACTCCACTAACCCAAGACCAAGGAGATGTCAGGACCCCAGAAACGAAGCTGTGGACCTGGACCAGGCTGGGAAGACTGAACCTGCAACAGGTGCCTAGCAGCTTGAAGAAATCACCTGTAGGAGACATCCAAGACCGCTGATCTTCCACACAGGAGCTCACCCTGCGGGTCAGAATGATCACAAGAACTGTGAGCAGAACTCCCAGAACGACATCTGGTGAGTGAGCTGCAGAGAGCTGGCACCAACACACACCTCCACCTGGGATGTGTCCCCCTGCTTAAGCCAGGACACCTGCAGGCCCGTCTGAAGATGCTGGAGAGCTTCTGGATGATCCAGAAGAGGAGTGTTGGTCATGTTTTTAAGTCAAGACTCAAGACCCATCTTTTTAGGTTAGCTTTTATCTAAATATTTTCTACAGTTTTATTTCTCGTTTTGATTATATTTTATTACTTGCTTTGCATGTTCTATATAATTAAATTTTTGCAGTTTTATTATTAAATTATTATTTTACTGTTTATATCATTTTATTTATTATTTTCTAATTTTTGTCATTTATATTAGCTCTTTTATTACATTTTTACTCATTTTAATCCAGTGTTTCCTCTGTGGGGGCCCTCTGCCCCGGGAGCGGTGGTCGACTGTAGCTTCCTGGGCGCTCTATAGGTGGGGGTCTATGCTCCCCCTCCACTGAGCGCCCTGACTTAGTGTGGAAGACCTGATGCTGCCGGGGCAGACGGCTCCTCTGATGGCGTTTCCTTGCGTTACCTTACTTGGCTCATCTGGACTCAGCCTAATATAATTTTTACTTGTGTGTGTGTGTGTGTGTGTGTGCTTGCATATGTTTGTAAATGTTTTTAACCTGTTATGGGAATCTGGGGTCATTTTGTAAAGCACTTTGAATCACACTTTGTTTGAAAAGCGCTTTAGAAATAAAATTTGATTGATTGAGATGAAACCAAAATAGAACTTTCTGGTTAAAAACTACTCGTCGTGTTTGGAGGAGAAGGAAAGCAACGATCTCAAATACACGCCGGGGTAAGGCAGGAGTGGCTTCATCAGAAGCATTTGAAGGTCCTGGTCCTCATGTGCCAGCCGTGCTCACACACAGACGTGTGTGTAGGTCTAACACACACGTGTGTGTGTGTGTGGAAATGCTCCTAAACATCAGAAACTCCAGACCATGTGGAGGAACATCTAGTGGTAGGACGGGGAACCACAGGAACACCAAAGGTCTCAGTCTTCATGTTCCTCAGCCACTAATTATTTGACCCAGTGAATAAATATCATGGTGGATAAACAGCTGAGTCACATGACCGGAGCTAAACAACGGGAATCTGACTTTCAGGAATGTTGTAATCACATTTTTTCTCTTCCTGCTTTTGTGAAGTTCTTAATCGTTGATGTAAATTTTATTTTCTTCCGTTATATTTGTGTCCTCGTGAAACTCCTCGTGCTTCTGCCTCAGACGCGTTAGATAAAAGAACCTTTCTATGTTCTTATGAAGGACCTGCCGGAGCTGCTCAGGAGGAAACGCGTCTCCGTGAGCGCTGACGGCAGATCCGTCTGGAGCCATGCTGGGAAGTGGGATCGTTGTGGAGCGACAGATCCGATTCTGGTCCATGTTCTGTTGTATGACCAGGAGAACCCCCAGAACCTCCTCTGCTCCCCATCACACACGCGTTGCCACGGTAACCAGACTGAATGACAGCGAGAGGCTGCACTCAGACAAGTTTTTCTTTATTCCTGACAGGAAGCTCTCCTCTGTCCCGACCGTGTTCATCACGTTTGGTTCTTCTGAGCTTCAGCAGCCAGCGTCTCCTCCTCACAACGTTTTCTGTTTTCTGGGTAGAACGCAGGAACCCACTCACGAGCTCAGGATGCAGCACGACCAAATATGGTTAAATGAGGGCGTTTCTGTTTGTAGATGACTGAGAAGGGACACGAGCACCTGGGTAGCACAGGTGGGACTCGTCACCAGACGAGTGCGGAAGACCGAGCGTGTCTCATGAACCGTGATTTTGACCGTTCGTACAAAGGTTCTAGATTTTGTTGGAGGGAAGGATTTTAGGAATGTTTCTACAAACGTTTGGTGAAAGAGGCCCTGGAGAGGCCTAGCCAACCTCCGGATCTGAACCCCATAGGAGATCTCTGGAGGGAGCTAACGGCCAGCGACATCGCGGCGGTGGAGGAGAGCGTGCAGGAGTGAAACCCTTCTGAAGACTTAAATGAAACCTCTGACCTGTCATTGCCAACGAAGCCGTATGGGGGAGTAACGATACCGCTTTACTCCAGACCGATACTTGGATCGGAATACTCGCCGATACTTCTACCACACAACGTGCCAGGAACTGGAATACAGGTTTTAGTTTCTTCTCTGCTTTCAACAGCAAAAGACTGAGATAGATAAAAATAAACAAAAATATTAGGCGAGCAGAAACTACAGAGAAGCCATTTTCAGGCAACTGCATCATCATCGGTTAACTTTTACCGGTACCAGAAGGGGTACTGAGCATCCCTAGCATGTAACGACGTAAGGAGATGGACTTTCATTATTGACTAAAACTTATTTTCCACCAAATCAAAATCAGACAGAGTAATTTTCTTTTTCTCTTTTAGTCTCTCATAGATGAAGCAGACCTGTAGACCTGACATGGGAATTACAGGTCTACAGGTCTACAGGTCTACAGGTCTACATGTCTACATGTCTACATGTCTACAGGTCTACATGTCTACAGGTCTACAGGTCTACAGGTCTACAGGTCTACATGTCTACAGGTCTACATGTCTACAGGTCTACATGTCTACAGGTCTACATGTCTACATGTCTACAGGTCTACATGTCTACAGGTCTACATGTCTACATGTCTACAGGTCTACATGTCTACAGGTCTACAGGTCTACATGTCTACAGGTCTACAGGTCTACAGGTCTACAGGTCTACATGTCTACATGTCTACAGGTCTACATGTCTACAGGTCTACAGGTCTACATGTCTACAGGTCTACATGTCTACAGGTCTACAGGTCTACATGTCTACAGGTCTACAGGTCTACATGTCTACAGGTCTACATGTCTACATGTCTACATGTCTACAGGTCTACATGTCTACATGTCTACATGTCTACAGGTCTACATGTCTACAGGTCTACATGTCTACAGGTCTACAGGTCTACATGTCTACATGTCTACAGGTCTACATGTCTACAGGTCTACATGTCTACAGGTCTACATGTCTACAGGTCTACAGGTCTACATGTCTACATGTCTACAGGTCTACATGTCTACAGGTCTACATGTCTACAGGTCTACAGGTCTACATGTCTACATGTCTACAGGTCTACATGTCTACAGGTCTACAGGTCTACATGTCTACAGGTCTACATGTCTACAGGTCTACATGTCTACAGGTCTACATGTCTACATGTCTACAGGTCTACATGTCTACAGGTCTACATGTCTACAGGTCTACATGTCTACAGGTCTACATGTCTACAGGTCTACAGGTCTACATGTCTACAGGTCTACATGTCTACAGGTCTACATGTCTACAGTTCTACAGGTCTACAGGTCT